CAGAAGGTCCGCCTTCCAGCAGAGTTTGACAACAATGTGTAACGAATTTAGAAAAACTCAAAGCATGAAAGTTGTAGACCATTGAAATAGCTTTCCAACGATATATTGTGGAGTCAAAAACGGAGCTCTGTGCAAAATGTTATGCCCATCACCGTCGCGTTCGGCTGCGTTCCACCGCGACCGCGGTGGTGAGGCGGTGCTCCAGCAGTTTGCCGCGGTCGGGACCGGGGTCAGGCCTTCTGGGACGCGGTGGCCGGCTTGGGAAGTCTTTTTTTAGCCCTACTTCATCCCCCACAGCCCCAAAACATAAAAACTTGCTCTAGAAGGGAAAACTCTCAAAAACCTAACTCCTTAAGGGTCCCTCCACCACCCAAGGTAAGTTTTAGTGGTGATTCTAAGTTTATTTCAATTCCCCAACATCTTATTAACATGGGTAAACCCTCCATATCATTAGATATTCGATTGGGACATCATTGCTGAGAGAAGCAACCCTAGAACTCGAATTCAAGGGGATTGAACTTCAAAAAGGTAATGTCTTCACCCTCTAATTGATTCCAACATTGGATAATGATTATAGACTCTAGTTCATGAGTTATATGTTGATGGGTTTGATAGAAAAAATGAACGGCTATAGGTTTGGGTTGCTAATTATTAATTATTGGTTAAGAGTATTGTTTACCTTATGGGTGATAAAAGATAATGTTGATTATAACCATTTGAGACTTTAGAATTTATCTAGGAGCAAGAGAATGAGTTATTGGGTGTAGAAACACCATTAATAAGGGCTATGAAGCTTTATACCACCAAGTTTTTGATAAAATGCCTAAGTGACCAAAACATGAGTATTATTGCTAATATGGAATCCCTTTGACTTGTATTGATATAGATTAAAGTTGAAGGGTTGGCGAATGTTGTATTATGCTCAAGAGCTGGAAGTTAAAGTATGTGAGGCTAATTCTCTATGTTTGGGAATGTTATTGATTCTCCCTACAATACGTTTCTTTTACGACGTTACTAATTGCCTCGGAAATATCGTTAAGCCTAGTTCCTTGAATAGTTGCAGAACTTCTATTCTCTAGCTTCATAACTCGTTCATGACTTTCATTCTGAACGTTGTGAGCTCAGTTCGTATTCAATATAGACTTGGGTTTGAAATCCCCGGGTCTCAGTGCAACTTACTCAGCATTTCATAAACAGTTGAAGTTTCAGTGTTTGTAATCAGTTCATGAATATATGTCTCAGTCTAGCTCTATTTAGCATTCAAGTATCATGTAACTCAGTATGGTTCAGTATTTCGGCATAACGTATTTCAGTATGATTCTCAGTTCCTTAATGTTGAACACCTGTATATGGGCCTGCGGCTGCAGTTTATATGCTTTATGCATCTTTGGGCCTGAGGCTGCAGTTTATGCTTTATGCATTTTTGGACCTGAAGTCGCAGTTATGTATACGTATACTTGGGCCCGAGGCCGTAGTTTGTGCACATATATATATTGGGCCTGAGGTCGCAGTTGAATGTTTAGATAAACAGATTGTTCATCATTCAGAAGAGGAAGTATTCATATCATTACTTCCTTTGCTCAGTTCATTTATCAGTTCAGTTATCAGTTATTAGTTATCAGTTATTAGTTATCATTTCATTTATCAGTTATCATTTAAGTTATCAGCTTAGTTTCAGTTTCAGCATTTATAATTCGTTCTTTCAGTTGCTTTACATACTAGTGCAATTAATGTACTGACGTCCCTTTTTCCCGGGGCCTGCATCTGAAGATGCAGGTAATGATTTACAGGTTGGCGATTCAGAGCGCTAGGATTCTCGTACAAGCTATTTGGTGATCCCCAGTTCGTTCGCGGAACTATCATTACCTTACATTCTTCAGTATTTTTAGACAGTCAGTATTTTTCAGTACTTCATTAGAGGCTTCATACATTAGAGTAACAGCTAGACAGTCACAGGCTTTTTATATTAAGCTATGTTGGTTACAAATATGTTTCAGAAATGTATTAGTATTTCCGTACTTTGATTTATATCATCCTGATTTTTAGTATATCAGCATGTGTTAGTTTATCTCCCGCATTCAGTATGTTATGATATCACATGTTGATTCAGCCAGCCAGTTGGTTCGCTCGGTCACATGTTGTCAAGCACCGAGTGCCGTATTACATCCAGGCCCAGGTTCGGGGCGTGACAAGTTATTAGTAGGCTTACCTAGCGGGTTGTGTTAGGTGCCATCACGTCTAGTGGATTTTGGGTCGTGACACCTGCGACCACTGGCCTCGCACCCGCAGTCTCGTAGGTGCGTTAAAATGGCCGCACCTGCGGTGCCTGGGCTGTCCTCCCACCTTCGCTTCTGCGGCTCATGGCTCGCACCTGCGGCTGACCAACCGCAGGTGTGGTCACACCAGAACTGGCACCAGCAGCTCTTTTGAGCTTCAAACTCAACTCGCACAACGTTCGAATGGTATCCGGGGCCCCGTCCAAACATACCAACAAGTTTAGAATCATAAGACGAACTCGCTCGAACTCTCGGAACACCTGAAACAGTATTAAAACTAAGAATCGCAACCCAAAACCAATGAATCAAACTTAAGAACTTCAAGTTCTTCATTTCACTTCCAATGCGCCGAAACGTACTTAAACTACTCGGAATGACACCAAATTTTGCGTGCAAATCTTAAATGACATTACGTAACTATTCCCAGTCTCAAAATTCCGTTTGGACCTCGATATCACCAAAACGCGTTCCAAACCAAGTTTAAAGAACTTCTAAAACCTTCAGGAACCAACTTTCACTATTAGGCGCCGAAATGCTCCCGGGTCATCCGAAACCCGATCTAAACATACACCCAAGTCTGAAATCCTCATACGAATCTATTGGAACCGTCAAATCCCAATTCCGAGGTAGTTTACTCAAAATGTTGACCAAAGTCAAACTTGGCGTTTTAGGCTAACCTTAAGGAACCAAGTGTTCCGATTTCACTCCAAACTCTCCCAAATCCCCAAGCAACCATCCCCCCAAGTCATAAATCAGTAAAAGTAAGTACGGAAAGTCTCATTTATGGGAACGAGGTTCTAACAAGTAAAATAACCGGTCAGGTTGTTACATTGCTTAAAGCCCATCTCAGAGTTCACGTGAACTCTTTTGTTATAACTTCAGCTATCTTGCTATTGGGCTTAGTGTTTCGGTATAAACGGCCCACTAGCCCACAATCCTATATGATTCTTTACAAGCTTATAGCTTATTAACAATATGAAAGATCACGTACTATAATGGCATCATAATCATTCAAACAAATACTATTTAAGAATACCCAGACTTAAGGATCGAAATTATACAAACGGATAATTTAAATGAATTTACACAACACTAATCATAAACAAAATAAAATTTAGAATTATACAATCCTTGCATCTAGCTAATTATCAATTGTGACTTCATAAAAAAAGCTCCTGTTGTTTCCAATCTCATTAACTTCTGCCAATGTACTCAATTCAGGCACATGTGACTTTGCAATTCCCAAACTAGTGTTGCACTTACAAGGATAGCTACAGAGATAACTTGCAAATCTGCATCTGACTTATCACAATTGAAACAAGTGAAATAACAGGTTAGGATTCAAATAATTACAACTCTCCAGGATTTCAACACACAAAGGGAAAGCGGCGAAATAACATGACAATTACTTTTTCAATATGTTGTTTTAAAGAACTAAAGATCAACTGATACAAGTACAAGAAAATCTGACTCCTAAACATCACAAATCTATGAAAACTAAGTATGAATGTGACATGATCAAGTCAAAAAGTTATTCATAGAGAAACTGCGGATGAATATTTGCATACATAAAATGGAGAACAATTGTGAAATTACCAAATAAAGGTCTGAAATCCCAAGAAACCAGCCCAGCTACTAATGGAGAGACAACAAACAGAGAAAACCAAGTAGGGATCCAAGCTTTAGAACTAGAGCTCAAATACAACCAAACAAGAGCGTCGACAACACAGATTGAAATAGCCCCAAAAGCTCAGCTTGATCGAACTTTGAGTGTTTTCCTCATTGTCTAATCCATCTAAAAATCAGTCTAAAATGAAGAAAAGGAGTCTGAATTGCAGAGGATTTTTCCTTTGTGTGTCTTTTGGAGTGAGTGAATATGCAGAGTATTAACATGTGAGTGTGAAGAAGAAAAGCCCCTTTTTATAGAAATATCCCTATGCCTTATGAGGGAATGAGATAAGGCCAAAAAGGAATCTGCCAGCTTACCCTAAAATTCAGGGAATTGGTATCTTTTCCTAACTGAATTGGACAATTGTCCACTTCAGATATTTTCTTATTGATTTTTAAACCTTTAACTTCTAAAAACTACCCTTTTAAACCAAGTTTTTACCTAATTCTCTTATCTTATTTGCACTTCAAACCCCTCCTGGCTGATTTCCTAATTTTCTTATTTCTTTTGCCCCCTAGTATTTTAATAATTACAAACAGCTATCACAAAACTTAGATGGATTAAAAATTACAGCACAACAAGCAATAGTCAAACTTTAACCTATTTTAGGTGATTAAACTAATTAAAATATGTAATTAACTAATCAAGATCATTTTAAACTAATTGAAACTGACTGCTATGCTTTTAAAACATTGGCTTAATCACACAATTTCTGAATTTTAAAAATCGTGACTAATCTAAACATGCTAAACATATGAAAGAACACACTACTAATCAACTGCTGATACATCATTAAACATACAATTCTGATAATTTAGCAAATTCTTTTTTTTCCCTATAAACTATCCTTTTATTTATCAGAAATTTGATCTTTACATAGTAGGACCCTGCTGACCAGTTCCTTGTCTCTATTTAGACTACACATGACTCCAACATCTCATATATGTCTCAACTATATAATTATACTATACTACTATATGTATCACAGCCTATACATGTATTCTACTATCATAGAAACAGAAAATACACGTATAAGACTAGCTAGGGGTATCTGTTCAAGGCTTCCATGTGATTCTACCAATTACTGTGTAGATGATATGTATATATGTAGTGATCTCTCGACATATCTGCTCTGCTGAAGTGCTCCCATTTTGAAATCTGATCATATTCTTGTCCCTCCATAAACTGTACATCAACATGCCAAACACTGCTACAATAATATTGCCAATTCCTTTCTTCTTCCTAGCATAATTAGCCACCCAGTGCAACTCCTCCTCCCAAGCTTGAATCTGTCTTTGAATTCCCAACCAGTTTAGTAATCTCTTCCATATAGTGTTTGTGTATGAACATTCAAAGAATAAATGTTCAAATAACTCATCTTCCTGACCACATAACACACATAATTGAGCTACTTGAACACCCATCTTCTGCAGTCGATCAACTGTTGGTAATCTCCTTTGTATTGCCAGCCACAAGTTGAACTTGTGTCTAGGATGTATATGAGGATGTAGAATCAGACTTTTCCAGTAAACCTTCTGACCCTGAGGAGTTTGCAAGTTGTAGAGCTTCTTAATACTGAATCCACCACTTGTGTTCTGTAAGGATTCCAGTCTTTCATGTATATTGCCTTGTAAGCTTGGTAAATTTAGTATTAAATTCCTTTGTTCAATAATTTTCCTTACAACCCAAGCTGCACTCTTAGGTATAGGCATGATGTCAATGCTCCTGTTCTTTATGTAATAAGAATGGACCCATCTTATCCATAAACAGTCTTTCTTCTTTGTGATTGCCCACAAGTGCTTCACTATTGCAGCTTTGTTCCAGTTACAGAGATTTATCACATTCAAGCCTCCCATTGTTTGTGGTAAACAAATTTTGTCCCATGCTACCAAAGCTCTTCTAGATATATCAGCCTGACATGTCCAACGATAAGTTCTACATATTGCTTCTATCATCTTGCTAATCTTCTTTGGCAATAAAAATACTTGAGCCCAATAAGATTGCATTCCAAATATCACTGACTTAATGAGTTGTAATCTTCTAGAATATCACAGTAATTTTGAGGTCCATCAATTGATCCTTGTAGTTATCTTTTCAACCAGTGGCTAACACTGTTGGTTAGTTAGCTTTTTTGGAGCTAATGGTACCCCTAAGTATTTGAATGGCAAACTACCTTCATTATATCCCAATTCTTGCAAGATAAGTTCTTTCATCCTCTCATTTATACCTGCAAGGTAAACTGAACTTTTATCTGGATTTGCTTGAAGACCTGAAGCTCTTAAAAATTTCAGATTCCATCCTGCAGTAATTTGATTGACTTCAAATGAGCTCTGCAGAACATCAATAGATCATCAGCAAAGCATAGATGAACCACTCCTAATCACTTACATCTTGGATGAAAATGAAAGTCCTTATTTGAAGCCAATTGACTGAATTCCCTTTGCAAATACTCCATGGCAATCACAAATAAGTAAGGAGACATAGGGTCCCCCTGTCTTATCCCCCTTTTACCTCCAAATGGCTTTGTAAGTCCTCCATTTAAGGTCAAAGAATAAGACATAGTTGTTAAGCACTCCATTATCCAGCCAACAAATCTGTGTGGAAATCCCAAATCTATCAGCATCCTCTTCAAGAAAAACCAATCCACCGTATCATAGGCTTTCCTAAGATCAACTTTTAGAATACATTTACAGATATTCCTTTCCTAGTATAACCTTTGAATAGTTCATGAGTGAAGAGTATACTATCAGTTATATTCCTTCCTTCAATAAAGGTTGATTGAGAATCCCCCACCAGATAGTTCATTACTGCCTTTAGTCTGCCTGTGATGATCTTTGTGATAATTTTGTAAATAGTTGTACAACATGCTGTTGGCCTAAAATCCTTAACCTGTGTAGGATTAGGAACTTTAGGAATTATAGTAATAGCAATGTTATTTATAGCCTTTGGGAGCTTTCCTGTGTTAAAGAAATCCAATACATCAGCAATCACATCTTCTCTGATCACCTCCCATTGTTGAGTGAAGAATTCTATTGGAAATCCATCTACCCCAGGTGCCTTGTCAGTTGGAATGGTTTAGTAGCTCCTACTATTTCCTCCACTGTGACTGAATTGATCAGCTCCAGTTGTTGTTGCCTTGTTAGACAAGGTCCTTTCTTGATCACCTAAGCATTTGGACAAGGATGCACTGGTGATGACTCACCCATCAATTTCTTAAAGAAATCCAGAAACTGCTCCTCCACCTGTTTAGGTTCTGTTAATTTAATACCTGCATCATTTTGAATAGAAATAATAGCATTAGTATTAGTGCGCATCTTCCATTGAGCATGGAAGTACTTGGTGTTTGCATCTCCATGTTGGATCCAAATAGCTCTAGATTTTTGCCTCAACACCTGTTCATCAATGTCACTCCATTTCTCCACTTCTAACAGAGCTTCCTTTTCTTGTTCTATATGTTTTCCTTAAAGGTTGCAGAGACAGTTGATGTTGAACCAGTTCCAACTTTTGCTTTGCTTGAGTCAATCTCTGCTGGTAAGATGCCATATAGTTGTTCAATTATTTTAATGTCTCTTTAAGTATTTTGAGCTTATACCATGTCCTTTCATGTCCTATACCTCTATCATTTTGTGCCCATACTTCTTTCACTATTCTTGTAAATTCAGGATGGTGAAGGACAATACGGTACAATCTAAACGGTCTAGGATGCAAGTGTTGTTGAATCATACCAAACATGCAATTCATCAGTATAGGAGAGTGATCAGAGACACCAGGGTTCAAAAATTCTGCCTCAATGTGCCCATTGTTCATCAACCAGTTGAAATTCCCAAATGCCCAGTCTATTTTGCTATATACCCTTGCATTTTCATCCCTTTTATTGCACCAAGTATAATACCATCCTGTGCTTTCAAAGGAGTGAATTGCAGTCTATCCAGGAATTTCTTAAAGCCTTGTACCTCTGCATGTATTACAGGAGCTCCAATTTTGTCATCTACTTGTAAGACATTGTTAAAATCTCCACTAATTAGCCAGCCACTTGTAATATTAGAACCTATACCAATAAGCTTCTCCCAGAGCTGCTGCCTTGGGTTCAATTCATTATATGCATATACCACAGTGAAGAGCCATTTCTTCTGACTAATTGGTTCTTCCGCTTCACAATGAATAAACTGTGCATCTACCACAAGGATTTAAATGTGGATATGAGACTTCCACAATAGCCAAATTCTTTCATTATATGCATAGTTATAGTTATACTGAAGTTTCCAGTCCTTAATTATCTTCTGAGTTATTCTCCTAGCTTTATTTTCTTTTACCCTTGTCTCAACTAGTCCCATTACCTCTAGTTTGTACTTTTTCAGAAAGAGCACCAACTCCTTCTGTTTAAAGGGCCTGTTTAGCCCTCTAATATTCCAAGTACTAACTATCATGGAGGTGTAGGATGGATATGCCAACCCTGCCTAGTATCAGATGAGGTGCCACCTTGATTAAGGACCTCAAATGTGTTTGTGGTAGTAGAACAACCTTGTTCCTCCACAGTATTCACAACCACTCTCTTATCATATCTTCTCTCTTTCCTTATTGCTTCTAAAAGTGCTGGAAGATCATTGCTATCCATATGCTTTCCTTCCAATTGTTTCTTCTAAAAGTGCTGGAAATTCATTGCTATCCATATGCTTTCCTTCCAATTGTGAGCCTACTGCATTTTCCCTAGTTACAACTTCCCTTGTAGCATTAACTATTGGTTCTTCAGTTGTTGGTTCATTTGGCATAACATTCAACTCTTTTACTACCCATTTGGTTTCCACATTTTTCCTTCTTCTGCCCCTTCTCTTCCTTCTGTTTTGCTTTACAAATGCTCCATTTGTCTCTTGATCCTTACTCTGTCTGCACTCCTCAGTGGTATGCCCAACTTTTGCACAATCCATACAAAATTTAGGCTTCCAATCATACTCAATGCTTTGATGGATAATTTCTACTGGTGTATGAATTTCAATATCACTCGGTAGAGGATGAGAAATGTCTGCTTCTACTAGTACTCTGGCAAAGGAGATTCGATCCATCTTAGCAGTGTATAAATCTGTATACATTGGCTTTCCTACTATACTTGCCAATTTTCTTAGAACCTCAACTGACCAATATCCAGCAAAGTTTGGAAACCTTACCCACAATGAAATTACATTCAAACATTCCGGATCAAAAACAAAATCAATCGACCAATTCTTCAAAAATAAATGGCTTATTATGAAAGGTGTAAGGACGTAGTTGCATGACTTTATCCCTATCTTCAAGTGAATCAAATCTAAATATGTAACATCCATCATCATGGTATAGGATTTTTGGAGTATTAACGAAATCCCACACATTTTCAACATAGTTCTCCATAGATTTGAAATAAGGATTTTCACCCAAAACATACCCAATGAGTGAATTATTCCAATAATTTTGTTGTTCCTTAATGTCTTCCTCTACAATTGTATCTCCCTACAGATCTGGGGGGATGTATGTGAGTGCCTTCCCCATTTGAGAGCTGTGATTCCTCTTATAAGTGTTCTCCTTACCTAAATCGTTTTCCTGTTCCATTGGTTCCTGTTCCATTGGTACTGGATTTTGAGTCAGATGAAGAATGCACCGTAGATTTTTCTAGGTCAGAAAATTGGAGCTGGCGTGGGATCTCTTCCCCTGTTCTTCGCACAGCTCGTTCCCAGCTAAATTATGTTGATACTCGTTAGCTAAACCCTCATCTGGGTCTTCCCTTATTGTTTGAAACTAAAGTGGAAGAAAACTTCCGAACGTTAATGGCTTTGCATGCGCCGGTACAGTTGTGACTGGTGTGACTGAGCTCGCCGGTGTCGTTCGAGCAGTGGTGGCGGGAGTTGTCATGCTGCTCGTGCACGTTAGCATATTGTGCTTGACATGCGCCGAGAGAAAACATGCTTAAGCCCTTCTACTCGCAGTCCTATTTTCTTTTAATTTAGCAAATTCAACTAAGCATAATTGAAGCTAAACTAAAACTAAACTATAACATGTAATGCAATCAATCAAAACAACAAAACTAAGACAGTCTATCAGTAAATTAAGCAAAATTACCATGAAAGAACGAAAGGAAGGATTACCCATTGACGACAAGGATGCCCGAAAGAAAAAGACATCCGGCTAATAGCCGACATCGTTACATGAGCATTAGCCCACACTCGAGGCGTAGCCAATGCTATACGTGACGATGTCGGCTATGTACGAGTAGAAGAAATCAACATTATACGCTTCCATGGTGGTGGTCGAATTCTGGTGGCCTAGAATGGGTCCAAAACTGACTCCAAACGATAACTCTCAACAAGAGTGTTCGATTAGCGTTGGTATGCAACTCAGGTAGGCTGGAATTTTGGGAAACTCAAAATGGGGTGGATTTAGGTTTTTGTGACTTCTTAGATCTGAAAATCAAAGGATTTGGTGGGTCTTTGGGAGAATTGATGGTATATTTGGATTGAGGATGGGGAGAGGAGTATAGGATGTGAGTTTAAGGGAGTTTGGAATGATACCGCCGCCGTATGGCGATTTCTGATGGCAGCGGAAGATGGGGTATGAGAGAGAGCTAAGGACGATAAGTTATGGGGTCTCTAGGGTTAGGAAGGGATTGTGTCATGGCCCACTCCCCTCGGGGAGGATCTACCATCCATACTCAGATATTGTTCCACCTTGGCCCAGCATTAACCCCTCCGCAGCTGCAGCCACTTGGGATAGAACCTGGCACCTAAGGCTTTTTGTACCCCCTTGAGGGATCGCCTCTCACCAATTGAGCTGCCCCGGTGAGAGGCGTATTCTTAGAAATAGCAAAAAGCCTTAGGTGCCGAGTTCAATCCCAAGTGGTTGCATGCTACAGAGGGGTGCTCGCCGGGCCAAGGTGGAACAATACCTGAGTATGTATGGTAGATCCTCCCCGAGGGGAGTAGGCCATGACATTAAGATAGTTTAATCTAAAGGAGGTATTGAGTTCTGGACCGTTGGATCTGGTGCATGAACAATGGGGATTCGAAGGGGTCAAAACAAGGTCGTTTGGGTTTAATGGGACTAGATGGGGTTGGGTTTGGTGATAATTGGGCCTGGCAGTGTGAGGCATTGGGCACTTAGGCCTCTGGAATTGTGCTTTTGGCCCAATTCCGCATAAGACTAAATAAAACATTTCTTTCTTTCCTTCTTTTCTTTTTCTTTGATTTTAAATCCTAATATAATTAATTAAAAACCTAAATTAAGTCCTAAATCAAATCTAATTTTTAGAATTAAACTTAATTATCTACTTCTATGATTTAAATAATTATTTAACTTAAAACTAATGAAATGAAATTACTAATTTAAATTAAAAGCTAAAATGTAAAAATGACCAATATTTTTGTGATTTTTATTTTATAATGCGATTAACTCGTGTAATTAAATCCTCAACGCAATTAAGATCTAAAATGCTTATGCAATGCAACATTGAACACTTTTTGGTGTTTTTCTATGATTTTAAGCTATTAAATATGCAACTAAATGCAAAACCAATAAAGAAAAACTCCTAAAATTCATAAAAATTATCAAAATTATTTTTGGACTATTTCTAGGAGTAATTTTCATGTGGGGCAAAAATTAGGGGCTTACATTTAGGATTTTTTTTAGCATACACTCCATATTTTTTGCTAAGTAGCATAGTCCTTTTAGAATCCATTAATAATAAGTTTCATGACAATCTTAACCTCCTACTTCTATAAAATATATATACACATGATTATGTGCCGGGATAGAAAAAGAAAGCTCACTCCAAAACAAAAAAGAGTTAATAAAAAATATAGCGATTGAATAATATCTTTTGCGATTTTATATAATATTTTGTTAGACTTATTTCAATAACTCTAACACAAAACTAGTATCATTTAAAACCGCTAGGATAGGGGCAATGAATCAAACTCAACCTTCAAAGTTATCTTTAGAAGTTAGGTTTGTCCAAATTATATAAGGAAACTAACATTCCAAATTTAAAGGTGTGCCCACTGTATCATGGATCGAGACGGGTACAAATTTCAAGCATAAAACTCTTATTCGTTTAATAAAATCCAATGGACGGGTACAAACTTATCCAATGTATTAAACCAATGAATGCAAAAGAAGTGTCTGACGTATATTCCTTTTAACACATTATTATGGTTAAGTAATATGTATTTTCATTTTAATTTTCAAGTACTATGATTAATTTGCATAATTTGGTGCATACACCGGGTATAGGGTAAGTCGTTAGAACGAATATGTATAAGTCTTGAATACAATTTACAATTAGATGCTCGATCGACTTTTTAGTTGTCTTCATCAGAGTTCGATAGAATGTCTTCTGAATCCTAAATAAACAAACAAGTTAAAATTTCAGATTGTCTTACAGTACTAGAAGCATCAAAATTGGGTCCGAATAAATTTGTATTCACGTCGGGTAGCTCTAAATAGACCTGAGTAACGATGAAGGAAGTAGTTACTGCTTAACCAAAGAATTAGATTCTTAGACAAATCTATTTTAAGAAGTACTCGGGCTTCTGCTAATCAAGAGAATTAACTAAAATAATGATGGAAATTAGACTTTTGAAATAGGAAAATAATAAGTGCACAAGAATGTAAAGTTTATTTCAGCAAAGATCAGAAAACCTCCCCATACAAGTGGGATCTTATTCCTTTTTATAGGGAATTTCTTATTATAATGTCTACTCCTCTTTATGATAGAGCATTAATGAATATTTATACCATTAATGAAACGTTACAATAGGTAATCGTAACTGTTGTGTGAAGATTCTGTAACGTTTAACTCATTGATTGAAGATCTATGAATCTGCCCTCAATTCAGCCCTGGTTCATTTTGACCGTGTTCTTCAACTCCTCAAATAGATTAGAGGTCCCGCTTCTAATCAACTCGTAGGTGTTTTATCACGTACCTCTTTGTTCCATACCTCTTTCTAAACCCTCATCCAGCTGTCACTTTTCCATTGCTCCACGTAGCCTGCTTCGTCATATAATATATTACACGTGCAATGTCTATTTTTACCAAAACATATAGTCCCCCCCCCCCCCACTTAGCATTTATTTATCAATTAAATATTAGGTAAGTGGACACTTATTTATGGCTGGAATTTTTTGCTGCCGTTTTACTCATGGCATTGCACCTGTCTCTGAACTTATACATCGCTTGTCACTTCCATTAAATGCTCGTGCCACATGGAGAATCCGGATTGGTTCTGCAATTCCTCAACGTATTTTAGGGCTTTTGCGGCAGCATTAGTCACGAAGTGACAGTCTTAATAATAAAATTCACATCATTGTTTGC